TTTTTTTAAATCTTGTTTGCTTTGGTGTGGTTTTACTCATAAACAGTGAAGAAAACTTTTGAGTTTTGAACATTGTTTGATTTTTCACCTCAATTTAGTGAATTAATTGTGTCTGTACTTTTTTTTTTAAAAAATAAATTGGCAAGGAATTGTTTCCTTGCAACTTTATTCTTTCTGGAGATTCTACGGTCTCATTACGGAACCATTCCGTTGGAGTTTGTTTACAAATCTCGACGGAATGGTTCTTTAGCGGGATTGTAGCATTTTCCTGTTCTTCTTCAAACTATTTAGGAGGACTAATTTCAATGGATTTTATTGGCACAGAAACTTTTGTACATGTTATCATCTCTTCCTGGAGAATAAAGCAGCTATACCACTTTACACATTCCATTCAAATAAAAAAAAAATAAAAAAATAAAAAATCTACTTTTGCTCCTCATTCTTGAAGATTACTATCTCTTACTATTTTTTTTTGATTGGTGAAGAATAAATTGGTATTTATTTTAATTTGGAGTTTTACTTATAGTACCGAACATATGCAGATGCATTTATCTTAGCTAAATGTATCTCATGATAAGAATGTCAGATCAAATTCTTAGTGATATTTTTATCATCATACTACATGAGAACCAAAAGCTTCTAGATTTATGTGCTTTTGTCGAAACCATTTATACTCGAATATTATATAACTTACTCGGTTTTCATTAAAATTTATGAGAAGGATCATTTGTGCCACCAACCTTTTATCCTCACTGATGATGATAGGTTATTTTGGAATGGAGTTCCTCCTTTGTTTTTATCTTTCGTGCCCATAAAAATTCCGAATTTGGGTGCCTATTATCCACTAAGTTCCCACTAAAGGCATTAAAGTATGAGATTAGATACGTGACGTCTTAATCTGATAGCACCCAAGTTGTAGAATGACACAATTAAGCTGCTAATTAAGTACCGAATTAGTGTCGTCCCACTATTTTCTGCACTTACTTTATTTACCGCTTTTCTCTTTCACCAAACAATTTCTACCGGGGAGAATCTATGAAGCATAAAGAACCGAGTCATGGATCGATACATCCTATTCAGCAGAATCTGGTTCCATGATTTGTCTAGTGATGAAGAACAATAACATTAGATTGAGATGAATATATATTTATGTGTACCTTTTTCCCTTGCATTTTGCTGTAGTTTATCTCTCTAATAGAATAAACATGTCCTTTTGGCATATATCCTTTTGTCTAGTCTCCTCTCAGTGATTAAGGTTAGCTTTACTCTAAACACCCTTCATATTTAGTCTAATCACAAAATAAGCCCATCAATTGCTTCTGTAATTTTGATTATTTTTTCTTGTGGTTATTTCGAAATCAGATGATATCATAAAGAATTGTCCCTTTAAAATTATTTGTAATAATTTTTTTGGTTGCGATTTTATTAAGGTGCGGGGCTTTTGAAACTTCATGACGACATCCAGACTTGTGGATACGAGGATGTCCAAATCATGTGGGAGATGTTGAGGAGAAGCGAATCAGAAGTAATGTCGCATCACAAGAAACGCAAACAACGCTGGTTCATGAAGAACTTGGCGTGGTTCAACCACGGACGATCGGGTCCTTCCTTGTCGACTCATCAATCTCAATAATAATAAGTCAACTGTGCATCTTCTCTAATATGCATTTGGTTCAATAAATTTTATTCGCGGTCCTCGTAAAAAGTAATAATATATGATGATACACATCAGAGAGAGATCACCATTTACTTGGGAGGTTGAAACAAACTTTGTGAAGTCATCTGTAAATATGTACTGTTGTTTGCTTTCTGCCAATCATCTCTATTGGTAGGAGTTTTTTTTTTAAAAAAAAAAAAAAATTGGAATGAACATTTGGGGGAGGCCATGTAACTCATTATGTAAATAATTTTTTTTTTTTTTTACCTTGTTTGTTAAATAATTGCATTTACATTTGTAGCTATTTACCTCGTACAAGCTCGAGGTAAACTGAAAAATCCCCAGTTTTTTTTTTTAACATGCAGGTGAGACACAATCAACACGGGACGGTAAATTAACAGTAGCAAATATGTATTTTTTACCTTCAGTCGTTCGGCATTCAAAACGTGAAACTGTCGAGCAGTTCACTCGTGTCGAAACGAAACCTGAACTCATTAAAGTGAATATGTCTGAAAGCTTCCAAATGCACACCTGAACTGTACGTCCATCACTTGAATACCAAAAAATTTATGCAAGAACTGAACTTATTCCAGTTCTCATCTGTTTCGGTTAAGAAAACTCGACACGAACACTGAGAAAACGGGTGCGGTTCCACGTACGTGAAGCGCACACTACGCGGGGAGAGCCTAGGCGAAACTTCACTTGGGCTTCTTCTGGATTTTCCCTGTTATAGTGCGCTTCATGTGCGTGAGACCGTGCAATGACGTGCTCGCCTGTTTTTAGCAGGGCTTGGGCACCCGGCTCCGTATTTGCGCTTGAGCTTTCTTAAGAAGGACATAGAACATACATTTGCACTCTAAAAGTGTATCCTCAGTTTGATTCAAACAAAGGGCATTAGCACTGCAGAGCAAACAAAAATTAACCTATTAAAAAAAAAAAAAAAACTGTATTAAATAAAATATGAAATTTTAGACAGGAACAGATAAAACTAATGACATTAACCTGTAATGAGGAATCCCTCACATGAAAGAGGCACTGTTCACACCCTGCAACACACACAGGGCTACAAAGGGAAACCGTTCTCTATAAAAGCGTTCATTACTTGTTATATAGCCTTGTAAACAAAGACAAACACAGTTCATGATATATTGAACACAATATGGATCGAATAAAGAAGTAAATAAACCGTAAGTGAAGGAACTGCAGTGGAGTGTAATGTAAGGTCACACTACAAATGACAAGTCGAAGTTATGAACAGAAAATCGATGTAAATTATTGAAATTCCATGTTCGTCGACGTTAAACTGTGTTGTTAATACTAAGATCGCAACCGATTCCCGAGTGATGGTACATACGCGTGACTATATTTCATCCTGCAAATTCCACCTTTTCTAGTCACTGGAATAATACTTAACTAAAAAAAGAAAAAATTATTCAAACAAAACTGTTTCTAAAATTTCTAATCGACTGTAAATTACACGAGACAGGAAAAAGAGAAAAAATGGAAATGATAAAAAAAAGACTGAGGATAATGCTAATCGTACAACATTGCCGAACCAAGATTCCGAGCGTCCAGCTCATCCTACCGATTGCTTTGCTGATGAATGGCTCTTCCAATTGTACAGAAAGAAAGCCCAAACAGCGTTAATGGAATCAAGATTCCCTGCTCTGGACCACCCGTTATCCCAGAACTTTCACTTTAAGAACACCAAATGGGTTCAAGGGGCCCACGATTTAAGAAATCAAACCCACACCAGCAGCAACTTGACAGTTATTCTTCGAATGACTTTACACATATTTTCTCCATCAACAATGGCCAATCCTCGCCGAGATTCCGTGGATCCATTTCCATAGCAACCCTAAAGTCCCGTAAAGAAATTGGACAATGATTTCTTTGTTCTTGAACTTCCGAGAGCTTCCCACTACTATGCACCAGATTTTTATACCCCGGCCTTACACCATTAACGGGCTTTGGATATCCATGTTGCTTATTCTGGGTTACCTCATGTCCTTGCCTTGAGCCCACGAGCTCGATGCACGAACTAATCAACCGCTTCATGTAAAGATTCAAACCGCGATTCAATAAGTCGGCAGAATCTAAAGACACTCCTTCAAGGCCGTTTCCCAAAGCAATATGCTCCATACGTTCCCTCAAACTCACGCTATCCGACAAAATTCCATCACTGAAAAACGAGCCCATATATCCACCACTGCTGCCCCCTGCTGCCCGACGGGCAGCCCCACCAGCACTAACCGAACAAAATGGAACCCCAAGCGGGGCCCGGATAGGACTCGTGGGCAAAGAAGAAGTCTCCTTCTCGTCTTCCAAATTTAAGCTTCTATTTGCGCCCGTACACCTTCTCAAGACTGACAAATTTTCGGGCACTGCATTAAAATCGTTGGGAGGCTGAGGAGCAAAGTTAGTTTTCCCGTTGAACCCAAGTGTGCTTTTGCGGTCCCCACTTTTACGTTCACGTAAGCCCGTTCGGGCCTTCTTGGGTGAAATCGGCAGCAGCATGTCACCTCCATTTGCGAAACTTGAGGGCTGAGCTGTATTCGCATGGTGGGACCCGTTTGGAATGTGATTATTATCGCTATCTTTACCGCTAGTGCAAATCCCGGGTTTTGAAACGGCGTCCTTCGTTGCTGGTGGTGGGGTTTTTGAGGTGGTAGCATTTATTAGTATCGAGCGAATGAGCTGATTGTGAAGAGGAATATTCTCCCGTCCCAGGATTTTAAGACAGAGATCGTCGAAATCAGATTTATTCAACTTTAAACTCAAGAATCTGTTCAGGTAATAAAAGTATTGCTTGGACCCGCCGGCCCCTACTTTCTTCGCTATCTGAGCTTTCAACTCGGTGAGGTTGACCCGCGAATGCTGACGTGGCGGTTGCATCTCTACGTGGTCTCTATACCTCTCCCACGGTATAAGCCCGCATAGCAGGAACACACGGTGCTACAAGCCTATATAACATGACATACAAAAATTTTAATCATCAATTAGGGTTTTTTCTTCTAAAGTCCCAAATAGAAAAATCCAAACAACAGAGTATCATCCCTATCACACAAACCCTAACAATGCCAAATACCGAAACCCGTCATCGAAAAACATCAATTTCAGCATAACAGTAGTTAAAGGGTTCGATTCAGGCCCAGAGATCTCAAACTTCCAATCAAACACTCTCCCTCCAAAAATCCAAATCCCAGACGAATACTAAATTCTAGGGTTTTCAAACCCAAAATTCAAGATAGCAAGATGAATTTAGGCGTTTATCTCCCTGAACCTCCAAGTAAACCACCCAATAAGTCTTTTTACACGAATTATCAAACTTCAATGGATAAAACAAAATGCGGCTCCATTAAAGAAGGATTCAAGGTCGAATTCTAAACTTCAACTTCAGTTATTATGCTCCAAATCCGAACCTCGAACAAACAAAAAATCAACGAAAAAACACAAAAGATTCGAACTTGAACAAAATTACGAGTTCAGGCAGACGAGAAAACAAATGGGCTAACCTTATTGAAGCTCCAAGGACACAGATTTAGAGCAACACGATCACGAAAACACTCTGAGCTTTAGCTTTGTTAACTAATTGTCTGAAACCCAGTAGCTTTTTCCGACCATTGCTCCTTAACCCTCACAAAATTTTGCGGCGCATTCTCTATCTTCACTCTCTCTCTCTGCCCAATTAAAATGGAGAAAATAAAGAAAATTCTGAATCAGAAAATTGAAGACCCCTTTCCTTTGTTTCTCTCTCTCTCTCTCTGATCGTAGTTCTTCGACACTCCCTTTCTCTCTCTTCTTTCTCTCTCTTTTTTCCGTTTTCTGTCTGATTTTAGCAGCTTATGTTTTTTTTGGGTAATTCTGTTGAGGAGTACATGTTCTGATGCACGGTGTACAACTGCTACGAGTTGCACGTTGTGTTGAAGATGTTGTACCTAAATCTTGTAGGATGGAAAATTAGAGTGGCAAAATGATATCTTATTATTGAATATTAGCTTCCTACACATTTATATATTTGCGTGAACACTACTCGCGATCTTATTGGCTAGCTGGAAGTGATGTGTTCCATTATTGTTGAATTTATAAATACAACTCCCAAGCACCGCGAGTGGGATATATTGACATTTAGGAAAATTTCTATTTTCATATATTTTTTTTTTTAACTTTTGCAATTTTTGGGCAAGAAATAAAGATTCTTCTCATAAACTTTGAGAGGGAAGAACAAAATTGATCATTGTGTGGTAACATAAAAGGTTTTAGTCAATGACTCTATAATTCAAATCCATTATGATCAATGGAATGGGTTTTGTGGCTCACTAAAATAACATTGATGCCTTCAAAGCTTAAAGCTATTTCAAGTGCAAAGAGTTGCTATTTTTGTTCATACATGTCATGCATATTCCATTGTCTTGTCTTGTATTAGTTTGTTATGATTTAGGGTTCCTAATGAGTCTTCTAAGTTCATGATATATATGTCTTCCTATTCTAAATGGTGGTAAAATTGTTACTTTCTTTACCTTCTTATGATCCCCACCGCGGCAGGCGTGTGAGGTCAGCAACAGCATCAGGCAACGTCGGGCTGCGCCGAGCAGGGGAGCGTCTACAACAGTAATGAGAAGGATAGTGTTAGATTACTAAATGATCTCAACATGAATGTATATAATAGCACACATTAGAAAATTAAAATGAATTTGTTTATATGTCAAAACCTACTCAAAAAATAGTCGATGATAGACATCTAAATTAAATATTATTATGATATTTTTCTTTTACAATGTTATGTTTGGTGCTGATGTTTAGTTATCATCCAAACTTTTAGTATTTTGTCTAATTATATTCAGACAAGTTAAATTCTGACTTTCATAGTTATGCTTATCATTCGTAGCATTGTCAGACAAGAAATTTTAAAGAGCATCTTTTGTAACGAATGTCAATCAATTATTAGAATTGATTATATTTTGACTTGCCTCAATAACAAATAGATTAAACACGTGACGATCTATGTTGACGAGACTATGTACAAATAATACTTTCACGGAGTTCGTTATGCTACATATCACGTCGAAATGGTACTTCTGTAGAGTTCGTTATTACGTGTCAGTTTCCACGGACTTTATGTTTGTCATATATTCAATTTCATTTTTATGAACATGTATCTCATTTTTGTCAAGAATATATATATATATATATAT